CTGGAGTCTCCAGATTCTATTTTAAACTTGGTCCTTTTCTGTAGGGGGGAAAAACGAATTTTAAAATAGGATTTAACTGATCATCTGGTTCGATCTACTCTGTTAACAGAACGGGGGGGGGGAGTTATGTATTATGAGTCGCTTATTCAAGCTCCCTGAGTGACTCTTCTCTCAAGTTGCCAATCTCCAGGCGGGGCCTGGAGACTTCCCAGAATTACAACGCCTCTCCCAAGTGACAGAAATCAGCTCCCCTGGAGGAAATGGTTGCTTTGGAGGGTGGACTCCGTAGCATTTTGTCCCGTTGGGATCCCTCCCCAAACCTCCCCTGCCCCAGGCTCCACCCCCAAATCTCCAGGCATTTCCCTCCGTGGAGTTGGCAACCCTCTAATTCTGCCACAAACTCACTTAAGAGTCAGTTATGAGCCACACTCAGCTTCCGCATCTCATCACAGGGGGATAAATAATAGTGGCCTACCTTACGGGGCTGTTGCTAAGGATTATTGAAGTGGAGAAGAAGAGATTGGATTTATACCCCGCTCTTCACTACCTGAAGGGGTCTCAGAGCGGCTTACAAACTCCTTTCCCTTCCCCTCCCCACAACAGACACCCTGTGAGGTAGGTGGGGCTGAGAGAGCTCTGACAGAAACGGCTCTTTTTCAAGAACAGCTCTTATCAGAACTACGGCTTGCCCAAGGTCATCCAGCCAGGTGCAGGTGGAGGAGTGGGGAATCAAACCCAGTTCTCCCAGATTAGAGTCCGCGCACTTAACCACAACACCAAACTGGCAGCCATTTTTTTTTTACGTCGGAAATGCTTTTATGTGCTCTAAGTATCACTTTATGTACTCCGCCTCGGGTCCCCGTGAGAAAGGCGGATGATCAGTAACGTAAATGAAACAAGACAAAAAGATAAATGTTGTTCAATTACAAAAACCTCTGAAATGTTGGGAGCTCGGTCAAAGAGTTGCTGTTCCTTGGATGCCCAGCAGGGGGCGCCAAAACTGCAGATTTGGAAGGTGGTCAGGAACGGGGGAACTTCATTCTCGCCCACCCACGCTAACCACTAGTCTTCCCCACCCCCTCATGTACGTGGGCGCAAGGCGCACTCACTCCCCCTCACCCTGGTCTTTGCTCCGTCCCAGGAATCCTGGCTGCCTTCTTCCCTCCCCGAGCCGGGAATAGAACCCAGGAGTCCTGGCGTTCACCCTTGTTATAACTACCTCTTAAATAAGGTTAAAAACATTCTATTTTTTAACCGGCCTCGCTTCTGTACCTATAACAGCTGACCGGCAATAAATATACATTTGGTGTCCGGTTTCTTCCACCCGCGTGCCTGGAAAGAAGAAGAGAAGAAGAGTTTGGATCCATACCCCGCCCTTCACTACCCGAAGGAGTCTCAGAGCGCCTTATAATCTCCCTTCCCCTCCCCACGACAGACACCCTGTGAGAACAGCTCCAAGAGGACTTGTGACTGACCCAAGGTCACACCAGCAGCTGCATGTGGAGGAGTGGGGAATCGAACCCGGTTCTCCCAGATTAGAGTTCGCGCTCCTATCCACTGCACCAAACTGGCTCTCCTTCTAGGTTGGCAATAAGTCAACGAGGTCTCCGAACAGCCTGTCGCTCTAACCCCTGAGCCGAACATCCCTGCCAGAACATGCATTCGAGATCCTCACGAGACCTGCCTTCTAGATTCTTCTCTGACCCACTTTCCTAATGTCTTTCCACACCGCATCCTATCCATCTCTTCCTATGGTCTGTATGTTCTCATCAGGCCCATTTTAAGTCCACCTTCTCAGGGTTCGCTTAGAGATTGAGGGGGCTTTGTTGCTTCTGCTTGGGAGAGCAGCTCAACGGGTTCGTTCTGAGCCTGCAGAACCCGAACGCAAAAAAACCCCCCAAAACCTGCGCCAGCAACACTACCACAAACATAGTAAAATGTGCAGTTCTCGGGCAGCTCCTCTCCACGCCCCAATTTAACGGAGGAAAGTCGAGCAGGATTCACAAAGGGAGAAACAAGCAAGCAGTGACATTTCCTCCGTTTCTGAAGCAGTGAGAGGAAAAGGAGCCAGGCTGGAAATAGGCCCCGGGGCAAGAAAAGTTGGGGCGAGAAGAACTATCCTTTTATAGCCGGATGCCCCACTGAAAGGGTCATGACTCTGTGACTCCAAATCGGCACTTGCCGCATATAACGGGGCCGGCTTCGTTTTGGGTGTAACACAATGCCCGGCTCCTTTCGCCCGAGGCAGCCGCACCAAAATAGCCAAGATCCTGCCCTGCTGGAATTGCCCGCTTGCTTGGCATGCGGTGGGGAGTCGGGCGGGCGGGGAGGGTCGGGTCTCAGGCCTCCCCACACCCCAGGAGGGCTCACCCAAGAAGCCGGCCTTTGGGGATCTGATTTCGTGTGGGCTGCAGGCAAAAATTAGGAAGCGGAGTCACCGATAGGGTGGAGGGAAGCAGTGTCTCTTGTTCCCAGGCTGGGCCCCTGAATCTATTCTTTGTCGTTTATCTAGTGCTGGAAGACCCTGATGGCACGTGTCACTTGTCCTCTGATTCAGGCTCACCACCCATATATGGCATGGTTCTGTCGGCCTACCTTGCAGGGCTGTTCTGTTGAGACAACATATATGAGGTGCCTTGAATTCTAAAGAGTGTGATTGACTGCTCTGTGATATTACGAGTGTATTCTACCCATTTTACAACGTTCCTGCGAGGTAGGTTACTGTTCATCCTACTTCAGAGCCGAGGCCATCGAGACTGACAAGTTGCTACCTGCAGGAAGAAGAGGAGGAAGAGGAGGAGATTGGATTTATATCACGCCCTTCACTAACCGAAGGAGTCCCAGAGCAGTTTACAATCTCCTTCCCTTCCCCACAACAGACACCCTGCGAGGTAGGTGGGGCTGAGAGAGCTCTTTTGAGGACTGCCCTTGAGAGAACAGCTCTGAGAGAACTTGTGACTGGCCCAAGGTCACACCAGCAGCGGCATGTGGAGGAGTGGGGAATCGAACACGGTTCTCCCAGATTAGAGTCCGCGCTCCTAACCACTCCACCGAACTGGCTCTCAAAGGGGAGACCCAAAGGGGCTCCTTAGCCGTCTCCCAATGAGTCCAAGGTGTTGGCATCCAACCGTACACTCTGCCCAGTCTCCAGGTTTTTGCCCGCCGTGAAACGGAACTTGAACCCAGGCCTCTGAGCTCTCCTGCCAACCGACAAATGAAGGCTCTCGCCGAGTAAGGAGTGCCTTTGAGCACGTGCAGAAGTGTTTTCTCCCTATAGCAGGGAGGGGAACTTGACCCCCCAAGTCGAGTGGTTCGGATCCCAGAAGGTATTTGCATCCTGCTACCTCAGAAATAAAGGGAGCTGCGGTGGCTCAAGTGGTTAAGACGCTGAACTGCAGGCTGTGGAAGGTCGTTAGTTCAGCAGTTCGAGACCCGAGTTGCCGCAAGACGGAGTGAGCTCCCGTCTCTAATTCCAGCTCCTGCCAACCTAACAGTTCGAAAGCAAGAAATTGCAAGTAGATAAATAGGTACCACTTCGGTGGGAAGGGAACAGCGTTCCATGCGCCTTGGTGTTTAGTCCTGCCGGCCACATGACCACGGAAACGTCTTCGGACAGTGCTGGCTCTTCGGCTTGGAAACGGAGGTGAGCACCGCAACCCTAGAGTCGGATTCGACTGACTTTCGAGCAAGGGAACCTTTACCTTTACCTCAGAAATGGCCCGGGATAAGATCTAAGATGTCATAAAACACATCTGTTAAAGAACAAAAAAAATAAATGCCTCCCCGTGAGGACAAAGTGTGTACATAGAGTTGCCGGACTGGGAAATCCCTGGAGATTTTGAGGGGGAGCCTTAGGGAGGAGAGAACGTCTGTAATTCCGGGAGATCTCCTGGCCAGTGTTCCCTCTAAGCTGAGTGTGAGCCAGCTCACAGTTTTTTAGCCTCCGGCTCACACATTGTTTGCCTTAGCTCAGGAAGGATGGCTCCAGAGCAAACTCATTTATGCAGCAGCCAAAATGCTTTCTCACAACTTTAATGCCAGTGGCTCACCAAGTAGAATTTTTGCTCACAAGACTCCACGGCTTAGAGGGAACATTGCTCCTGGCCCCACCTGGAGGATGGCGACCCTGTGAATTTGGGGGGGGTAGATTAATTCTTGCTGGGACTCAAGGCCTGACTGGTCCAGCGATCCGGTGAGGAAGGAACGGAGGATGAAGAGAACTCAGAGAGAAGAGCTCAGAGAAGGAAGAAAAGAAAACGGAAAGAGGGGAGAGAGTGAGAGAATACAGGAGCCAGAAACGGAGGAAAAGAGGGAAAGGGCTGGCTTCCCTTGGCCGGAGAGCTGTCCAGCGGCCTGTCCCGTCCCGTCCCGCTAGCCGGCAAAGAAGTTATATAGAGCAGCTCTCTGCTCTCTCCCCCCCTCCTTCACTTCCTGGGTGGAGCTGGCGCTGGGGAGAGACATTAAAAAAAAACACAAAAAAAACCACCACTGCTTTAAAAACCTCTCCGCCTGCAGTCAGCAAGTCCTGACAGGAGTGGTGAAATTACAACCTTCCTCCTGCCGGGGAAGAAAGCCGAGCAGGGCCAGCTGGCTCCGGGAGGGAAGGAGCCGCCGTCCAACAGTGCCGCGGCAGCCCTGGCGGGATGGCCCGGCCCTGAGGCCAGACTTGGCCTGAGCCTCCTCGCCGTGCCACGCTCCGGAGAGGTCTGGGCGCCTCCTGGCGTTGGCAGCTTTCCCGAGCCCCCTCCGCCCTGCCAAGAAGGGATCTGCGGGAGCCAGCCGGGGACGGTGTGCCGGCAGCCCCAGGAGATGGCCCTCCGGGTGGCTCGAACCCAGTGCCAGGGCTGAAGCCGGCGGCTTGAAATCTCGGGCTCTGCAGACAGCCGGGCCGTGGCCTGACGCCAGGCGGTCTCTCCGAAGCCTGAGGCAAGTCTCGGTCGCCTTCGAAAGTTGGCAGAGCCCCTTCCGACTGGCGAGGTCCCGAAAAGCGGCTTCGTGCAGCGTTCCTAGGCTCAGCCGGCAGCGGCTGCAACTTCTGCGGGACGCCAACTTCTCCAGATGCGGGAGGCTACTTGAGAGAGAGGACTGAGACAGGAGCCACGAGAGAAAGCCCGTCTTCTTTTGTGTGTGTGTTGTTTCGGGGCTGAGAGCGGAGGCGGGTGGCGGTCATGAGGACGCCGGTCTCGAAAAGCGGTGCCGGGCGGGGCAGCGGCCGGGGCGGCCCCCCGTGTGCCTCCCGCAGCCTTGGCACGCGGCGGGCGACGGGCTGGCTCTTCCTCCTCCTCCTGGCCCTGGAGTGCCTCTGCTCGGCCTTCGCCCTCTCGACGTGCAAGACGGTGGACATGGAGCTGATGAAGCGCAAGCGGATCGAGGCCATCCGGGGCCAGATCCTCAGCAAGCTCAAGCTCTCCAGCCCGCCCGACGTGGACCAGGGGGACGTGTCCTTGTCCGAGGAGATCCTGGCCCTTTACAACATCACCACGGACCTGATCAAGGAGAAGGTGACGGAGGAGCCGCGCGAGACCCCCCAGGAAGAGTACTACGCCAAGGAGGTCCACATGTTCAAGATGCTGCCGTCCAGTGATGGTGAGAGAGCTCTCTGGGAAGCGGGTTTCGTGGGGGTAGGGGATAATAGCTTGCAGTCAGAGGCAATGTTCCCTCTAAGCTGAGTTAGTGCGAGCTAGCTCACAGTTTTTTAGCCTCCGGCTCACACATTTTTGTCTTCGCTCAGGAAGGAGGGCTCCAGAGCAAACTAGTTTATGCAGCAGCCCAATTGTTTGCTCACAACTTTAATGCCAGTAGCTCTCAAAGTAGAATTTTTGCTCACGAGACTCCACAGCTTAGAGGGAACACTGGTCAGAGGGGAATTCGCATCTAGGACTTTGAGGTTGCTCTGTTTTGGGGGGGGGGTTGTCGCGCTGTGGTTGTATTAACACCCGCCAGGCCTACAGAAATCAAGAGGGGGTTTTTCTCCCTCCCCTGCACACTTTCTCTGCCTATTTCTACAACTGAAATGGACAAAACCAATGTAGAGCGCAGTGGGGCCCCTTTAAGACCAACAAAGGTTTATTCAAGGCGTGAGGTTTCGTGTGCAAGGCACACTTTTTCAAATACATGAGGGCACGTGAGGTTCTCAATTTATAGCCAGAGAATGAACAGCAGATTAACATGTAACAGGATGATCTTTAAGCTATGCAGAGTCAGAACTAAATAACAAGATAACCGTTGTAAGGTCAACAGTCGTAAAGCGGTAAATAGGTCAAAATAGCAGATAAATGTCTAAAGGCGTCTTTTCTCATTGTGGGAAGCAAAGCGAGAACGGTCGTGTTACGTGTTGATTTGCTGTTAAATCCCCGTCTGTACGTTTAGAACCTCATCTGCCATTCCAATGCATTTGAAAAAGGTGTGCCTTGCACACAAAAGCTCATACCTTGAGTAAACCTTTGTTGGTCTTAAAGGTGCCCCAGCCAATGTTCCCTCTAAGCTGTGGAGTCTTGTGAGAAAAACCTCTACTTTGTGAGCTACTGGAATTAAAATTGTGAGCCAGCGATTCGGCGACTGCATGAATCAGTTTGCTCTGGAGCCGCCTCTCCTGAGCTAATATGAAAATGTGTGAGCCGGAGGCTAAAAAACTGTGAGCTGGCTCACACTAACTCAGCTTAGAGGGAACACTGTGCCCCACGGGGCTCTAAATTCGTTCTCCTGCTTCCGACCAACCCGGCTGACTACCTGGATCTATCAAATTAACAAGCATAGGAGCGGGACCTGTTAAAAAGTTGGTAACCCCCTCCTCGCAGCCCATTGGGACAAAAAATCCCGACTTCAGGTCTAGGCGAATGGGGTATGAACGCGCTGAGACGGAGAGGGGGGAAGATTCTGGGGTCAGGGCGGATGGCTCGATGAAAGGGTCAGCCCAGAGTGCTGCAGCAGTGAAAAGGCAAACTCTGTGTCAGAGTGAAATCTGTCTCCCTCTCCCAAAAAAATCTAGAACTTGGGGGCATCCCATGAGGCTGATGGGCAGTAGGTTTAGGACGGACAAGAGGAAACACCACTTTACGCAGAGAGTGATTAAAAGGTGGGATTGGCTGCCAGAGGATGTCGTGATGGCCACAGGAATCGACAGCTTGAAAAGGGGACGGCATATTGATTCATGGAGGATGAGTCTATCAGTGGCTACTGGCCATGGTGACTGTGGGGAACCTCCACATTCACAGGCACTCATCCTCTGAATCCCAGAGCCAGGAGGCAACCTCAGGGGAAGGCTTCAGCCTCCATGCCCTGTTGTTGGACCTCGAGAGGATTGGGTTGGCCACTGTGTGAGACAGGATGCTGATGGTTCACTGCTCTGATCCAGCAGGGCTCTTCTTATGAAGGCCTCGGCCTCTCTGCCCTGTTGTTGGCCCTTGAGAGGAGCTGTCTGGCCACTGTGTGAGACAGGATGCTGGACTAGATGGACCGTCACTGGGATGATCCAGCAGAGCTCTTCTTATGAAGGCCTCGGCCTCTCTGCCCTGTTGTTGGCCCTTCAGAGGAACTGGTTGGCCTCTGTGTGAGACAGGATGCTGGACGGGATGGACTATTGGTCTGACCCAGCAGGGCTCTTCTGATGTTCTTATGAAGGCCTCAGCCTCTCTGCTCTGTGGTTGGCCCTCCAGAGGAACTGGTTGGCCACTCTGTGAGACAGGATGCTGGACTAGATGGACCTCTGGTCTGACCCAGCAGGCCTGATGTTCTCAGTGCCTGAGTGTGACCCGTTAACTTTGTGTATGGTGGCTCGCAGGAAGGCACGGGATATCACATTTTCCCATGCCTGCCTTGTGGGTGTGAAATGGGAATAATACTCAACGCTCTCATGGGGGTGGTGGTGGCTACAAGGACCGGGGAAAAAGCATCAAAATGATGGGACGGGACTGGGCGTCTATCCCGTCAGTCAGTTTGTTTTCGAACGTTCGGTGGAGAGGGCCATGAATTGAGTCCGAGGTGGAGAGAGCCATAAATCGGTGAGGTGGGGTTGTCAGAGCCAGGGGAGGTGATGCAGACGGGAAATTAGAACGGCAAACATTGCCTGGGCCTCTGTGGGATTACTCCTTCCGAGAAAGTTGCAAGTTCCCTCCACGCTTCCCGAACTAATTCTGGACTTTGCCCCCGTGGCTTCTAGCAAGAGGGCCTCGGCCCTGGCTGCCGCCTTCTTTCTCCCGTCCCCGCTCCTGTGTCTTTACCGGGACTTCCATGCTTGCTTAATTTCTGTGTGCGGGGGATGCTGTTAAAGGCGCAGGGGACGGTCCAGTCATCATATCAGACAGGCGGGTTGAACTGACGGGCGCGCCGCAGAGCTCTCCGCCGAAATGCAACGAGCGGGAAGGGCAGAGTAGTAATGTCTGAGCAGAGCACAGGTGTGACGTTGGTAACAGCTGTCTTGCGGCCAAAAGAGAGCATGGATTGAGCTATTCGTTGTGCCCAGCGTGCACGGAGGCACCTGTGAGAAAGGGGCTTTCATCTGTTGGCTTCCGGGATCAGGAATATTGGGGGGCAGGCCGCACCGGGGGTGGGTGGGAGTCTGTGGATCAGAGGCCAGGCCTGGCAAATCCAAAGCATCCCGCCCCGTCCTTCCGAGGCCTTGCCCGGTGGGACCGGTTAGAGCCGCAAAATACCGACTCAAAAGCTGCAGAAATTTCGGGGAGGCGAGGGGCATTCAAAAAACGTGAACCGGAATGTCGTAGTGGTTAAGCGCGTGAGACTAGCTCCCTGAGAAATCCAAGTTCAGATCCCCCTTGTACCATGGAAGCTTCACTGGCCGACTCGTACTCTCTCCGCCCGACCTACCTCGCAGGGTCGTTGTGAAGATAAAACGCAAGAGAGAAGAACGATGACATCCGCTCTGGGTCCGCATCGGGGACAAGTGGAGAAAATAAAGTGTTTGTTTGTTTCAATGTATATTCCACCCTCCCCGCAAGCGGGCTCAGGGCAGATCACCAAGTAGTTTCTGAAACACATCAGATAACAATAGTACAGAATAATTTTTTAAAAAAATTAAAACCCCATAAATTAAATTAGGTTGCACTGTTTGTTTATGCGCAAAGCTTCCAAACCGGTGCCATTGGGTCTCTAAGATCGTCTTAATCTAGGCTGAATATACAGTTGCCAACCTCCAGTCGGTGGCTGGAGATCTCCTGCTATTACAACCGATCTCCAGGGGTCAGAGATCAGTTTTCCCGGAGAAAATGGACGCCTTGGAAGGCAGACTCTATGGCATTAAATGCAACTTTAAGTCCGGCCTCGCTCCAAACCCCGCCCTCCCCAGGCTCCACCCCCCAAATCTCCAGGTCTTTCCCAACCCGGACCTGGCAACCCTAGCTGTGTAGAGGTGGTGAATGGATCGAAGCGCGCTCTGCACTTGCTCAGAGGGTTCCCGTCTGATCTCAGCGTTGGGATGTTCTTAAACGACGGGGGCCGGCACCAATCTCCGGCTTCCAGAAATTTCAAGACTCACTTAGCAAGTTTATGAGACGTGGGCGTGGAAGCCGAAGGATACCCGGTTTGCAGGCGTAAGATCTGTGCCGCCGCCGCTGAGAGAAAGAGAAAGACCTTCCAATTCCCCCTCCCTCCCTCCACTTCCACTTCCTTTCTGCCTGCACGACACACATGCTGGCCTGCAGTATTTTCGGTTGTGCAACCGGCCGAGCCCGGCCATCAAAAGCCAGGCTCCCAGAACAAGGCCTCTTCTTCGGAGGGCTGACTTTTTTATTTTTGCAACTTCAGCTCACCCCCACCACCGCTGCCTCCCAGGACGGTGGGGCAGAGAGAAAAACACTAGATAGGTCGGTTTGGAGAGCTTCCCGTTTCTGGGGGAACCGCTGGCCTCAGCAGGCCCCGATTCGCGGGTAGTCTTCTCCGCGGGGGCCGTAGCCAGCCTGCCCTGGGGTTTGATTCGTTCAAACCGGGCTGGCAACACTGCAGGTTCCTCCTCACTTTTTCAGATTTAGTTGTTGACTCGTGGGAGGCTGCCAACTTCCTTTCGGCTTTTCATGGACACGGCTTTTGGACTTTTGAGCCGACGGAAGCTGGCACGTACAAATTCAACAGGGGGAATCCCCCGCCTCCTCACCGCCTCCCTGTGCCACAGAAAGCGAGCCACGCGCAAACCCTGCTCGTCGAAGCTGTCGTTAAAACGCAGGAGCAGGGCCGATCGGGTCGCCAGGTCCGACACGGGATATATCTGGGGACTTTGGGGGCGGAGCCAGGAGACTTTGGGGGTGGAGCCCAGAGCAAGGATGTGACATCGCTTTTGTGATGCCACTAGAGGCGATTGAACTCCGAAGGATGTTCTGGCCGTCACATTTGAAGGGACCACATTCCTTTTAAATGCCTTCCCTCCATTGGAAATGGTGGGGGATGGGGGGCACCTTCTTTGGGGGCCCACAGAATTGGACACCCTGGTCCAATCCTTTTGGAATTTGGGGGCTTTTTTCCAGGAGAGGCACCGCCAGCTATGCTGAAAATTTGGTGCCTCTACCTCAATAAACAGCCCACCAGAGCCTCAGATACCCATGGATCAATTCTCCATTATACCCTATGGGGAACGGTCT